TTTTTTGGCAGAACCGGGGACTGAACTCAGGCCCTTGTGCTTGCCAGGCAAGCACTTATTCTACTGAGCCATCTCCCCAGCCCCTCAACCAATAATATTTGAACCCTTAGAATTAAAAACTATTTTTTAAGATCCCCCCAATCCCCAACACACACACAACATATACACTCCTTAATACAGGTAAGGGGCTGGGGCCGGGGAGATGGCGCAGTGGAATAAGTGCTTGCTTGGCAAGTGCAAGGGCCTGAGTTCAATCCCCGGTTCCACCAAAAAAAAAAAAAAAAAAAAAAAAATCCTCAATACCTAGTACAGGGAAATGAACCAAGGATCTCTGCATTGAGCTACACATGGCCAGCCCTTTTTACATTTTTAAAAACATTTTTTAAAATTTCAAGACAGTTTCCCTGTGCTGCCCCCAGGCTGGGCTTAAACTTATGTCCTCCTGCGTCAGCCTCTCTAGAAAATATTTTTCTGTTTTGTTTTGTCTTATGAAACAGGGTCTAATACAGTCCAGGCCAAACATGAACTGCAACGTAGACCAGGTAGCCTCCAATTCAAAATCTTCCTGTCTCAGTTTCCCAAGTGCTGAGGTTATAGCTGTGTGCCACCACACCAAGCTAAGACACCTTTAAGGTCTACCTTAACCACCACAAAAATGAACAACTGAGGCCAGGGAGATGGCTCAGTAGAATAAGCACTTCCCTGACAAGTGCAAGGGCCTGAGTTCAATCCCCAGTTCCCCCCCAAAAATAAACAACTATACATTATATGCCTCTGGATGTGATTAAGGACCATGACCATGCAGAATCACCTATATTCTTCCCACTCCCCCACAAAAACAACAAGTATAAAAACTAAAATTTAATCAAGTCTCTAGATCTATTAATTTGTAGAAAACATGGAAGACAGAAAAATGTATTAAACACCACTTGGGAATGTAATCAATAAAGCCCAGACTGAAAAATCTACATAATCCAGTTTGTTCAACAGATAAAACACAGCACTGGGAGGCTGAGGCAGGAGGGTCAGTTCAAGACCAACCTGGACTACAAAGTGAGCTTAAGACCAGTATCAACTGCATAGCGAGACCCATCTCAAAAAGACAAAAGAGGGCTGGAGAGATGGCTCAGTGGTCTAAAGCACCTACTTAGAACAAGCTTGGCAAGGCATCAGGGACCGCGGTTCAATCCCCCAGCACCACATGCCAGCCAGCCCCGCCCCCTGGTGGGCTGAGCTGGCCACACACACACACCCCTCTCTCTCTCTCTCTCTCTCTCTCTCTCTCTCTCTCTCTCTCTCTCTCTCTCTCTCTCTCAAATAAATAAAAATAAAAAAAAAATTTTTAAAAAATAAAATAAATAAATAAAAAAAAAGACAAAAGAAAGTCTACTGATTGAAAGTGTCTTGGAGATTTGGCAAACAAATACACAATGTGGGCCTTATTGGATCTTGATTTAAATAATTCAACTGGAATTCAAATTTATAAGACATCTGTTGCCCCTCTGCCTCCAGTCTGACACAGTGTAAGCAACTCTACTATGCCATTCCCCCTGCCACTGCCTGGGAGCTGGCCACCAAAATAAACTAAATCCACCAATATAAACCTCTCCTTCTTGGAAGTCATGGGCTTCAAGGATTCGGACCCAGTAATAGGAAAGTAAGACAGAGTGGTTCCTATGGGCAAGGATTTGCCCACAGCTTCTTTTGGACAGTCATTCTAGAATAAGTGATGACATAAAAATATTGACAAATCTGAAAATTTTCCAGGTGGACAGAACTAGACCCCAATTAAATCAGCCAATAACCAATTAATTGTCTTTGTTTGTATTTGTGTGGTACTATGGATTGAACCCAGGGCTCTGCACTGAACCACATTCCCAGATTTTTTTTCCCTGAGAGACAAGTTGCTAAGTAGCTCAGGTTGTACTCAAACTTGCAATCCTCTTGCCTCAGCTTCTCAGAGCGCTAGGATTAGAGGTATGGGCTACTATGACTGGTTCCAATTAACTGTTTGTAATTACTTGTTAACTATAAAGAACAAGTATATTCCACACCATGCTGAGAAAACAGCCTATTACATGTAAAGAACCTATTCTCCCATGCTGATACTTACCAAAACACCAAAGAGTAAATATGGCAGTTAGTAAGTCTACCAGTTGGCGTGGACGAGACCTTATAGACACTGACACAGAAAGCCGTAGCTTTCCATTTCCCCAGTGGTCACTTAAAAAGAGGACCAGCAACTGCCAGCTTGCAGCCAAAGTCCACTTGTGAACTGTTTCCGTCCAGTCCTGGAGCTAGGCTTTCAGATTCTTTCAGATTTTTATCTCTCTCTCTCTCTCTCTCTCTCTCTCTCTCTCTCTCTCTCTCTCTCTCTCTCTCTTTTTTCCAATATCAGGGATTGATTGAACTCAGGACCCTGCACTTGCCAGGCAAGCGCTTATTCTACTGAGCTATCTCCCTGGCCCTCAGATTTCTAAAGGAATGAAAACACACATATACACAAGGCATAGGTGACAGAGGCAGAGTGACATGTAACTACAAAACCTAAAATATTTACAATCTGATGTTTCCAAAAAAACGTGCTGAGCCCTGAGTTAGATAAGGTATACTGAAATAATTGAGTATTTCATTTCAGGTGAGTTTTCAACGCCATGGGTCTGCCTGTCAACCAGCAAGCCAAACACATTTGGGCCACTCTCCCTTTTCCCACCTGGTACTTCCACGTCTGAGCCTTCTTAGCACCTCTTTTGTCAGTCTCCAAGTCAAACGGCTCAATTTGGGTCACGTTCTTTATCTTCTTCTCTGGCAGGTTAATGCTATCAAAATGAGGTAAGGGAAGTGCCTTAAACTTGGGTACCT